CTCTCTCTCTCTCTCTCTCTCTCTCTCTCTCTCTCTCTGTCCCTCCCCTGCTTGTGCTCTCTCTGTCTCTCTCTCAAAGAATAAATGAACATTAAAAAAAATTAAAAAAAAAGAATATGTGGAACTGAGTAATGGGGGGGAGTATTTACTATATTTACTTCTTTCTCTTTACTGGTATTGATTTGGTAGAATTTCAATAGCCTTTGTATATCTGAATGCATACCATGTGAAAGTATAGGAATAGATTCTGTATGGTAGAGCTTGTTGACTCACAGGCAGGTGTTTGTCCCTGTGGCCTTTTTAGGTGGAATTGCCAGTCCTGGGTCACTTGTAATAAGGGCTTCTTATAGATGTTAGATTTTGCTCCATTTTGTTAAGAGATTCAGCCAGTTTTGCATGGTGTAGTTTTCCTGTCCCATCATTCCTATCATTTAGTTGATAGTGAAGGAATATTTATTTGGTATCAAAGAATTTAAGCAGTATATATTAAATATGTAATGGTACCTCCTAGTTAGGAATAAAAAAATGAGTAAGACATTTCTCATTTCTTTCTGTAATCCTCTCTCTTCAAGGATTACAGTCTGGGGAGATACGATGTGAACAGAACACAAGCAATTCTAGGGCCCTGTGTGACGTACTATTAAGTAAGTGCATACGGAGTATTTGGAGTTCAGAGAAGGGGGAGAGAACTCTCCTCCGTCTGGGTGATCAGAGTAGATTTCAGGAAGAGGTATATTCTTCTAAGGAATTCTCTGAAAGGTGGATGACAGAAAAGAGCATTTAGCAGGAGGAGGGAGTAACCATAAACAGGCACAGAAGCAGGAAAACAAAAGCCTTCATAATTAAGATTGAAACTGAACTAACAGTTTACACCATTCCTAGAAAGTTGTTCCTGACCCTCTGTGGTCAGGTTGATTTACCTGCTTGGGTTTGAGAGACGGGGTGACATTCCAGACAGATCATTAGGAGTCATTCTGGTTGTTAATCCATTGATGTAGATCATCAAGAATTTGCTGATTGTCAATAATCACTGCAAACATCACTCTTACTGGGGCTGAACAGGTTTGTTTTGTCTTGTATTTGCATCCTTTAGTTTTATATTTTATAGCTATTGGTAACTAAGCTTTCTTAATCTCTGTGTGAATTGATGCCCGGTCCTTTGTATGAACAAAATTGGATTCGTCGCTAATGAGCCAGAAAATTATCACTAACACAGGCGGCTTTATTAGTCTTCAGGTCACCATTTCAGCCTGTTAAGACAAATAAATGCAATTTCAAATATTATGAAGAATTGTACTTAAAAGTTCTCTCTGATTAAGAGAAGTTAATGGGACTTTTGGTATACTTGGGTTGTCCTGTTTTCCTTAGCTTCACAAAAAAATTTGACAGTTCTCCATCCCTTTGTGGTATCTTTTGAAGTTTTATTCTTTTCGTGCCTTGCTTACGAAATTTTATTCCTATCTCAAAGGCTTAAAGATATTTTATATTTTATTCTAACTAAACAGATTTTCACTATTAGATTTTTAATTTACTTGCAGTTTATTTTCATTGGTGGTGTGAGATATGGAATCCAGTTTTCTCATTTTTCCGGATGCATAGCCAGTTATCTTAGCACCGTGGACTAAATTGTGACCTTTGCCATTGGTTTGCCTTCTCTCGTGCATCAAGTTTCCATATATGCACGGGCCTGCTTCTGTGTGTGACAGTTTTTCTGTTTGCAAAGATTTCTGCAAATATTTCCATGGTACACACGTATATAATATGACAGAATTATTTTCTGTTATTTTGGAATAGTATTTAGTTGCAACAGAATTTAAAACTGATTCTCAGGCATTTTTAAAACTTCATACTCTGATGAAGGAGTGTGAACATGCAATGTACAGATTTTCATGAAGACACTTTTTTTGGCCTTCCTAAAATATTTCTGTAGAAAGGCTAGTTGATGTGAAGTTAGTATGTAAATGCTAAGCGTGGTAAGTTATATTAAGTCACTGGTTGTCAACTTTGGGAGTAGCCACGTAGTCTGTTGGGCTGTGGGGTTCCGTGGTCAAGGTGTGGGGTTCCGTGGTCAGGGTCCAGGACTCGGTCATCCGCGAGGCCCATGATTTGGGCTCACGTTATACAAACACGTTACACTGATTTTTGCCAAAAGCCATCTGGTTCACTTTTATTTACTATTTATTTATTTCTGTGGTGAGTAGGATATTGTCTCCTTTCTGTTGATCTTTTTTTATACTTGGTGACGTTTTAAAATTTCAACATAATTGTGCACATATTTTTATTCCCAAGTGAACAGCTTATTTTACTTCGCTTGCATTTCACGTTGGCCTCTTTCTAATGGCAGGTTGTAATTCATCCTAGTCATCTATCACCAAAATATCTAAATTCCACTACATGGCGGTTTTACCTTTTCAAATGTACCTGTCACAGTCAAGGGTGTGGACTGTTACTCTTGTCAAAAGAGATTAGATATTGGAATCTGTCTTTGGCTACAAAACCTGTACTTCGTCTACTTCGTCAACTCCAAAGGAGTGACTTACCAGCTAAAGAATAGTGTCCTTATATTCTCTACTTCACATTTATGAAATGGCCATGTTTTTGTCAAACAAATTAAAAATGTGAATAACTTATGCATTACATGTTAATAACTTAGATATTAGGTAGAAAGTAATGGTACTTGGATAACGAGTTCATCTAATCCACAGCTTGATATGATGTTTAAAAGTAACTGGTGCTCCAAGTACTTACATGCATTTTACTTCCTACAACTTGCTCAAAAACATAGTACATGACAGTACGACTTTTTAAAATTGCTTTTTTCTTTATGGAGATGATATTGCTGATCCCCTGATAGGTTGTCTGATCTGAGTGGTTTTTATTAAAAATAATTTCCTGCCGATTCTGTGTACACAGTAACCAAATCCTATCTGTCCATGAAGTAAACATTTAAAGATACCTCTCCCCTCCGTTCCCACCATAGTATCGTCAGTATGTTACTAATAGATTTGTATTATAATTTATCCATTCATAGATGTCTCTCTGCCACCGGGTTATGAGGCCAGAACTGATTTATTAATCTGCATATGACCATACAGTGCTGGGTTTGTAACAGGGGCTTAGTAACTGCACAGTGAAGTCATGAATGTCGTCAAGCTTGGAGCCTGTAGTCCTTTGCCAGGAAACAGAGTGGTGGTAAACTAGTGGTTGGGGAGTTGGAATCTTGCTGTTAGTTTTATCAGCATTTTGCTCAAGTCAAGCTAATCATCTTGTGATGGCATTATACTTTGATGCTTGCAGAAACTGCAGAGCACAGACATAGAGGAAATAAATATAAAGCATTGTGCGTAGTTTCAACAGAATGTCTTTGCAAAGCAGTTATTACTGTTAATATTACTTCTGGGGCAAACTTTTCCCTATAAAACGACAGTCAGAAAGCCTTCGCAGAATTGAAATCCTATCTTTTCAGTGTTGGAATGATGTACAAGATAGTTTAGAAAATATATTCCTGGATACAGAGGTATAAAAACTTGCCAGGCGAAATTACCAAAAAAAAAAAAAGGAAGAAATCCTAACTCGGGAAATGTGCTTCATAATCTTCAGAATAGATCCACACCTACACATATCTAGGTTTTCACGGTCGTCCCCGGCTGCCAGCGTTGGGCGTCTCCTCTGTGCGAGGCGCTGGGAACATGAATGGGAAGGGGCCTTAGTGTCAGGAAACGCAAAGGTGTGTTCTAAAGGGGCATTTCTAGACTTTTTCCAGATTATCACAGATCATGGGATTCTTTTACGTAATTTTACAGATGCCTCCGTATTTGAAAGCGTGTGTAGATTGTTGAGGAGTCAGGCCGACTCGTTCTCCTGCTGGTGGGACTGGGCGTCTCCACCGAGAGCGCGTGCTGTCGCCGTGTCGCGGCCTGGGGCTTGGTGCAGGCAGGGGAGTGCGGATCCGTGCGGTGCGCGTGGGGCGGAGGCTGAGAGTGGGTGTCGCGGGGGCGGTGTCGGCGAAGGCCGGAGCGTGGACTCCTGTCCGGAAGCCGGGTGCGGAAGGAGAAGAGGAAAGTTAGGCTTTGCCCTCGCAGCATCCTGACAGGCTTGGCAGGGGCCGTGAGCAGGGGACTCACGTGTCCTCGTGTGGAGGCGAGAGGATTGAAACCGTAAAGTAAAACTTCTGTGGAAAGACTTTTTTTTTAAATGTGACTTTTTTTTAATTTTATTTTTTATTTTTTAGAAAATGGCTCCAAAGGGTATATGAAGCTGGAAAAGTACATAGATGCAGCATTGCAGCCTCTCCAGATGTTTGAGGATAATATTCCGGAGAGAAATTGATCCCCTCGGATTAGGTAACTAGTCATAATGAAGAAAATTAGTCTTAAAACCTTCCGAAAATCTTTCAACTTGAATAAAAGTAAAGAAGAAACGGATTTCATGGTAGTGCAGCAACCGTCACTGGCCAGTGATTTCGGAAAAGATGACTCCTTGTTTGGTAGCTGCTACGGTAAAGACATGGCCAGCTGCGACCTCCACAGCGAAGATGAAAAGGGTGGGAAGAGTCGATCGAAGAGCGAAAGCCTGATGGGTACGTTAAAACGACGCCTGTCTGCGAAACAGAAGCAGAAAGGCAAGGGCAGCGCGCCCTCCGGGAGCTCGGCTGACGAGGACACCTTCTCCTCCTCCTCGGCACCCCTGGTCTTCAAAGACGTGAGAGCCCAGAGGCCCATCAGGTCCACTTCGCTCCGCAACCATCACTACAGCCCTACGCCGTGGCCTCTGCGACCCACGAACTCGGAGGAGACGTGCATCAAGATGGAGGTGAGGGTCAAAGCCTTGGTTCACTCTTCCAGCCCGAGCCCAGCCCTGAACGGGGTTCGGAAGGATTTTCACGACCTCCAGTCTGAGACTGCGTGCCAGGAGCAGAGTAGTTCACTCAAGAGTTCAGAGTCTCACAATGGAGACTTGCATCTTCACCTTGATGAACATGTGCCTGTAGTTATCGGACTTATGCCTCAGGACTACATTCAGTATACTGTGCCTTTAGACGAGGGGATGTACCCTCTGGAAGGGTCGCGTAGCTATTGTCTGGACAGCTCTTCTCCCATGGAAGTCTCTGCGGTCCCTCCGCAAGTGGGAGGGAGCTCCTTCGCCGAAGACGAGAATCAGGTAGACCAGGACCTAGTGGTGGCCCCAGAGATCTTTGTGGATCAGGCGGTGAACGGCTTGTTGATTGGCACCACGGGAGTCATGTTGCAGAGCCCGAGAGCGAGTCACGACGATGCCCCCCCACTCTCACCGTTGCTACCTCCAATGCAGACCAATCAGATCCAAAGGAACTTCGGTGGGCTCACCGGCACAGATGCCCACGTGGCGGAAAGTATGCGCTGTCATTTGAATTTTGATCCTAACTCTGCCCCTGGGGTTGCAAGAGTTTACGACTCGGTGCAGAGTAGCGGTCCCATGGTTGTGACGAGCCTTACAGAGGAGCTGAAAAAACTGGCGAAACAAGGATGGTACTGGGGACCAATCACACGCTGGGAGGCAGAAGGGAAGCTAGCAAATGTGCCAGATGGTTCTTTTCTCGTTCGGGATAGTTCTGATGACCGTTACCTTTTAAGCTTGAGCTTTCGCTCCCATGGCAAAACACTTCACACGAGAATTGAACACTCAAACGGTAGATTTAGCTTTTATGAACAACCGGATGTGGAAGGACATACGTCTATAGTTGATCTGATCGAGCATTCAATCAGGGACTCTGAAAATGGAGCTTTTTGTTATTCAAGGTCTCGGTTGCCTGGATCTGCAACTTACCCGGTCAGACTGACCAATCCAGTGTCACGGTTCATGCAGGTGCGTTCTTTGCAGTACCTGTGTCGTTTTGTTATACGTCAGTATACCAGAATAGACTTAATTCAGAAACTGCCTTTGCCAAACAAAATGAAGGATTACTTACAGGAGAAGCACTACTGAAAGATTATGAGAACCCCCGCATCTTGCACTTTGGGAATAAGAAAAAGAGATTGAAATACAGTTTACAAACTTTCATTGCTATCGAAATCTTTTGCTGCCATACTATTTCAGTTTTATGTGTAAAAGTAATCAATTTGTTTAGTTAGGGGTGGGGAAGTGTCAGCAAGGTGTCTTGGGTTTATTTTGGTTCTTTATAAAGGGAAGTCTCGAGGTTTTGGAAGTGTGAATTATCTTTCATCAATGTGCAGAATAATCACAATGTGAATTATCAGATTCTCCTTAACCACCCCCCCCAAGTCCTTTGCTGCTATCCACTGTGATTTTTATGCATTAAAAGCACATTTCATGTGTATTCAACCCTAAGTAAAGTTGAATGAAACTTACAGAATGAGTATTGTTATGTCTCTTTAAATGGCCCATTTTCAAAGATAGTGTTGAATAAACATACCCGTGTGATAAAACACAGAATTTACACGTACACTGAAAATGATTTTTAATCTCCTACTTTAGAACGATTTATTTAGAATTATGATTTGACATAATCTTGGGTATTAGAATGTAGACCCGCAGCATATCTTTTACAACACTTACTCTAAATTGTTTCTGAGGTTGTGCTGTGTTTTGGTTGTGGAAAGTGGAATTTTTCTGTTGCCTTCATTTTCATCTTGTGGTTTGTCTACTTTAATAGATGGCCTTACATTAAAAAATCATCAAGAAGTATATAACACCAACGTAAGAAAGCGTTGCCTTTTCTGTCATTAAGCTCTGGTACAAATTGGCATAACGTAAAAAGATCTGTGGGACTAGAACTATTACTGAAGAAATTACTAGATGATCATAGTTTCCTGTGATGATAATTTTTTTGTGTGTTAATTATACTTTCCTTTGGTAAAGTGTTTTTTCTGTGATTTCTTTCGCTTAGCCAACATTTTCTTTGGGTGAACTTGACGTAGAACCGATTTTCATAAAAAGAGTGGGTTCTCTTGCAACATTTAAGTTTATATAAAGTTTTAAATTGATTTGAATAGAAAACATTGTTTTAGAGTTGGATTTTTATTCTTTTATGTAGTCACTATTGAGATATGCTAGGTTTGACCCTTCTTCCTTCTCCCCACCAAAAACCAAAAAAACCCGATGACTTTAGTTGAAAAAGTGTGGAAACTGTGGAGCATCATGTAAGAAGAATATTAAAACCATATCAGGTATATGGAAGTCTTGTCACCTGCCATATACCGCTGTTTAAAACTAATTTATTGTTTTTTGGTTTTTTGTTGTTTTAAATCTAGCTGAGTCTTAAGTAAATTGGCAGGCATCGTTATTTTATCTCTAATTTAGTCGCTTGGATTGTGGGGCGGGGGGGGGGTTGTCCCCAGTACTTTTGTTATTTTTCAAATTCAGTGTTTATTCGCTGCACTATTCTTTAGTGAGTATTTTGGAAGTACCCCATGTAGAAAATGTTTCCATCTCAGATGAAACATACCATTTAAGACATTTCTTCCTTTGTCACTCAGTTTTCCTGTCTCTTACCCGTCAATTAAAAACAAGAGTAAAGGTCTTAGGTCAACCCTAATGGCTTAGTCATTCAGTATCCCTGTTTTTTTGTTTGTTTTTTGTTTTTTTTTTCCTCTCTGCTTTTTAGGGTCAGAACTGAGAAATACCAAGAAAAGGCACAATGATATCGTGTTATGGTATTTTGCCATAAAGGGGAAAAGGTACTTAATTTTGGTGGAATGTTGATTGTACCTTGTCATAAAGGCTCCTCTTTAATTTTCTGATGTTTTCACCTAATAAGATGGAGTATACTGTAATAATATAATTTAAGTGTTCACTATAAGCTATTTGGATTAAGAACTATTACAGAGTTGTAAACTTATCAAATTAATGCAAGACATTTAAACTATTTTTTTGCAAAACTATTTATTTTTAAACAATTTAAAATATATCTAGGGTGAGTTAAAAGTCCCTGTGCATCTATATTAGATGGCAGGTATTGTCACAGAGTCACTGTGTATTAATAATAAATGTTGAAATGGCTTCTCCATGTTTCTAGAAGCATTTACATGTACTCTTTGTGAGACCATGGTGCACAGAGGTCTTTGGACTGCCCTGAACCCCGTCTTCTTGTGTGGACATAGCCTGTTCCCCACGTGTTCCTTATGATACCATGTGTTCAAGATTTAGCTATTTAGTTTCAAGATTATTTTGATTTTCATCTAATGGTTTTTAAAATCATATTTTGTGTTTTATGGAGGGCAGGTCTAGATGCCGTTCTAATTTAGAAAGCCAGTTTTTTATGTGCTTTTTGTACATTCATAACATAAAATACTTTAAAATGCCCCATTCTAATCCTTTTTGAAATTGCTAGGGTCTGACAGTGTATTGAGAAAAATAAAAGTATTTGCCAAGAAATTATTTACAAACAAAGGAGTATTGCAGTATTTTCTGCTTTTGTGTAGAGAGAGCCATTTGGCATAGGCAGCACAAGATAATGTGAAAGATCGGCTTTATAGGATACTAAAATAGTCTGCTTAAAAATGGAAGGGAGAAAAGAGAGAAATCTCCATCCCGTAGTTTGGTCTAGAAACCATTTGCGTAAACTTCTGGATTACCCTGAGTGGCAGCTTAGATGACATGGACACAACCTGTAAGTGACATTTAAAGATATGAGCTCAAGGCAAGAAAGAGAAAACAGGAAAGCTGTATCCTTTTGCCATAGTAAATGAATCAGAGTTGTTTTCTTGAAGATTTCACCACAAAATACAGTGGAGGCCAGAAGATAATTCTAGGCTTCCTAGGACACTTTTGTGCATTTTTATAAATAATAAGAAAGCATAGAAAGTACTTGAAAAATATCTCCCTCTTTCTCTTTCTAAGGAAATCTTCTCTTTCTACTTGGTGCAATAATCTGAAAATCTAGAAGGTCAAAAATATATCACAGGAAATGATCATAGAACTAAAAATAGTTTTTAAGGAAACGAGTTACAAGGGCAACCATCTTGCTGTTGAAGAAAATTGTGTGCCAGAAGGCTAAATCGTCGGCGTATTAGGAAATAAACACAAAGTATACCTTACAATTTCTGAGCCAGTATTACTGAAACAGGATAAAAATTACAAAAATCTTAAATAGGTTCTATGCAGTGTCCCTGCTAGTGCTGGGTCTAAATATCTTAATGCTTTCAGAAATGCCAATTTTAATCGTGGACATTTCACATTATATACGAGAGATAATCTACATGAGTGATTCAAAATAGTATATATTAAATCTTAATGGCTGTTCATCGAATGCGAAGTCTTAATTTGAAAATGGAATCACACTACCAGCAAGACAGTTTTGTTGAAAACTCTAATAAGGAACAGTTGCCAGTTCCATAAATAACTTTAAAATTCCAAAATAAAGTATTGGTACACTAGTAATCACAAATTTGATTTCTTTTAATACTTTTAAAAATCCTATTAGGAAGGGTTTTTTTAAAATAAATGTTCTTTTTATTAATTAGTCATAACATCGTGAATGTGTAGTTGCTGTTTCTGAAAAGTGATCCAAACTCTACATCCAGAGATGATGAAAAATTCTTATAGAATTTTGTAATAAGTATACATGTTGGGTTTAAAGATATTTTATAGTCGTTGGGAGTGCCATGAAATTAATACTTGCAATCCAGATTGCTGTAGTTTACCCTTTTTCTGTATGTTTCAAATCAGGTGTGTACCATTTGTACTGAGAACACCACAGAATGAATTATCCAAAGTCCATTGATTTTAATATGTGTTTTGGTTTGTAAACAAATTATAGTAATTTCTTGCACATTTTTGGAAATTAATTGTATAAGGATTTATGTATCTGCTTCTAGATACAGTGTGTAAATAAAAATTTCATTCACAAGACCTGCCTTGTAGTTTATTTATATTTAATACCTGGATTACAGAATCTGATTTTAATTAAATCAGTTAACTAGATAGTTTCTGGATGTCTCATAAACTTGCAGAGACTGGAGGGTAGGGACCAGCAAATTTAGTTAAAAAAAAAAAAAAGGCAGAAAAAAAACCAGGAAAAAGTGAAATAGTGTTGCTCACAGGAGAGAGGAAATGAATTTAGAATTAGCAAATGTTGCTAACATCCTAAAGCCTTTAACATAAAGGCTGGAGTGAACTGACAAACCATAACAAAACCTCTCCTAAACAGACTACTTAACATTAGCACAGTAATAAGACTTCACTAGAAGTTTGTACTGGATGATGAAATGTTTGGATCGTGACATTTTTTTAAATGTCCCTATTGATAATATTTCATAAAAATAGAAGCAGGCTATCAAATTTTCTTTAATACTTTTAACTTTTTCCAGTTACTGGTTCTGAGAGTGTCTTAACCTTCTGAAACCTCTTAAAATTTTTTTTGACTCTTGTTTTCTTGTCTTTTACATGACTTGTCTTGCTAATGGATGTTTCACATCAGCTTCTCTGTTCCCACTCTCCCTACCCCAAAGCCTTCTCCCCAGAGTCCAGAGTCCCCAGAGTCCCCTGTAAGGCCAGGTCTGATGCTGGCAGAGAACCCAGTAGTGGTGGGGTCTGAAAGTATGTGTTTCTGAACACAGTGGACTTTGCTGGGGTTACACTTTTTGTCTTAAACTGCATATTCCCTACTTACTACCAGGCAACTTTGCCACCTTCTCTGAGGAGTGAGAGGAGGGTCCTCTTGGCAAAGCCCTCCTATCGGTTGTACAAGCCAAAGAGGTTGGCCAGAGCAGGGGTTGTTTCCAGAGGGTTTACAAACAGGGCCAACTGCCTTATGTAGGAGTCACTTTGGACCATCAGATCCTGTGCTTGGCAACTGGCTTGCAAATAATGGTAAATCTTAAAAGGGAGACTTTTTGATCATGAGACATGGTTTTCCCCACACCAAGAAAGTTCTAGGAAGTGCAGATCTATATATGAGGCTGCCTTTTTCTGGTCTCTAACTTGGGTCTGTGAGTCTAACAGACACTTAGGACTCCATTACACCA